CTGCTCTCTTTCGCCGGGAAAAATGCATGGTTCCACCCAATGACATTGGTAGTGAAATCAAACTGATTCTTAGATCGCAGAGAGCTTGACTATGATTCATGTCTTGCGCCCCAAGTTCTTGGTTACGTTTAAATTCCATTGTTAATTCTTTATCGTGGAACTCAGGAATGCGAGTGTGCCCTTACTCTTCGTGCAGGTTTTCAATTCCTTCATAGAGCAGCATAGTGTTTGGACGCCCCATGATCCTTCATGAGTAAATCTTAGAATGAGCTTGAGCAATAAAAGTTCCGGATTCTTCTGTATCCATTAAGCAACATAGTTTATTTACGGGTTTTCGTTTCCCTTTCGTGTGTCTGTTAAATCTACTGAACGATGTTTCGAGGTCTCTTGTCTTGCATGTATGAGTTGATCGGCATGGAGAAGTTCACGATGGCTGACAGATGTTCTGTCTGTTGTGTTATAGGCAATTATCATTTGCCGGACTTCGTTAGTTGCAAACAATCTTGTTTACTATTTATTGAGATATCTTTCACTTGGTATGAGAAATCGGAATATGGTTCCGTTGAATTTCATCTTGGCCTAACCCTCAGATGGAGATCTCTCCATCCGAATGATTGAAGTCGTAATTCGGCAAGGCCTTTGTCAACTGCGCCTTTTCTTGTCCATCATGTTAATGGATCCAACAGAGAGACGTCTCCTCGTTGTCAGAGTTTCAATTGCGCTTGGCAACATGTTGCATTCGTTTTCTTCTTGCGATCAGCCTTCAGCCGTTTGGAACCTTTTCATTGAGGAGAGAGTTCCTTCTGGTGTAGGCTTGCGTCGTCGACTCGTTTCCAATCTTGTTCTTTTGTCGCTGGTTTTTCGTTGCAGATGAGACTGAGACTTGCCTTGAGCCTTTTCGGTCATGCAGTCAGCGAGTTGTGTGTGCTCGTGGTAGTACCACCATTTTCTTCGTTCTTGGAAGAGTTTCGTTGTTGCGAGTAGCTTGTATTCTTGCTGTTGTCTTCTTGAGGAGCTTGCTTGGAATCCGCCCTTGTTCATTCGGAGGATTCCATGCGTTGCAGAATCCAATGGTTTCCCGATAGGAGCTGAAAAGATCGAAGTCGTGTTCTCATCTTCTTCATCCACGATGTGGAATTCCATGACAAAACATGTCAATGACTTCGTCATGGTTCAACGTTTGGTTGGGTCAAAAAGGTGGTAGACGAGGAAGTTCTCGGTGTTTCGACTGAGGTTGTTGACAAGCCCAGTAACATACGCGGCTTCGCATCTTGCGCGCATGAACGTTTCTGTTTTCAAGGCCTTGTAGGACAGACCGCTTCGATCAGGCATTTATGCCAAACTAATGTCAGTCGTCCAAAGCAGGCGACTGCTCCGTTCCAGGCATCCTGGAAACTGCTTGGAAATGGCTTCAGTCTTCACCGCCCGTATGTCGCGTGGAGAATCGCGTTGACTGCATCTGGCGCAAGCATTCCAAGTATTTCACGATGGCCTGAAAGCTAGATTCTAACTGTCTTGCAGAGCTAGAAGTAATCTCCCTGAGGAGGTTATGTTGTCTTCAGGCGTAGCAAAGGCGAGCCCACGAAGACCTTCTCATCGTCCAGCCCACTTGATGGTCTGACGTGGGTCTCAGACCATTGATGATTTGGACCTTGAAGTGGTACTTGGCCTGTTAGCCATCTGCTGGACAGTGCGAGTTTGTAGGTGGAGAGCGAGAATCGTCGATTTCGCATTCATCATCGAGGTCGATGTAGAGGAAGGATTTGGTTTGTCACGCAGCTTAGACTCGAAGCTGGTGTATGCGTCTTTGGCAATCTTCATGTAGGAATAGGTTGAGGTAGCTGAAAGCTATGTTTGTTCAGCAATACGCTAAAGTAGTGTAAGATCTTTCGCGTGTTTTGAGTTTGAGGAAATGAAAGTTATGAGAGGATATGAAGCTATGAAACTAATCAACGGAGAGAGATCATCATCAAAGGATCGTAGATCTGAACTCCCGCGTGGAGACTGTAAAGTGTGATAGAGTAGGTGGGTAGTAATCTACTCTCACGATCCAAAAACGAACGGTGGAAGATTCGTTAGCTATCTATGCGTGAATACTCCACTGGCTAATTTCTAGACTGATGTTTCATCATACAACCTAGTATTGTAGAGGGTCATTGGTCTGTGTCTCCAATGACTATTCGCGAAGGACTACGTCATGAGTCGAACTCAGACCCTATCTAGGATCGAGTCGCGAATAAGGCTAAGAGCCGTGTATTGCATTGGCTAAGAGCCGTGTATTGCACAATAATTCACATTCTTGGTCTGCCTGCCTCCATGCACGTTGAGCCTCCCTTTCCACTTGTATATCTCTTGTGTAGCTATCCTTCTCTTCCTGCGGAATGCCCATACTGCTGGGAGGAGCTTCGTTCCTGGTGGCATATCTGCTTTCTTTGCGATTCTCCAATTCTTCATCTCTTCATGTGAGCGAATCTCTTTTACCATGGCTTCCTTGAAGTGCTTTGCGTCGTGCGCAGACAGAGCTGCGTCGATGTACATGATGTCTGGATTGGTGGAGGCTGCAAAAGCAATTGGATCTTCCATCTTGTCTTGTATCGTGTAGCCATCATCGTGGAAAACCTCCCATGGAACCGCGGCATACGCAACCTCGTAGATATCTAGATCGCGCGGTCTCCGCAACTTCCTTCCAGATCTCGTCACACGTGGCTGTTGTTGTGCGCCTACTCCCTGCTGCTCGTGCACGGATTCCTCGTCGGATTCGTCCGCTTCGGACGGTAGTGAGTCCTCGTCATTGTCTTGGTTGGCTTGTTCCTCGATTCCGAAGTCCTCTCTCAGGATGTCGCTAGCTCGCAGAGCTGGCCGCTCCTCGTGGATCCGAGTCTTGTCTTGGTCGTGACTAGCCAGATTTTCGTCGTTGGTTACATTCTTCTCTTTCGAAACTTCTCCACGATGGTGGTCTGTTCCGTCCTTGTCGGTGAATCCAGCCTTCTCTTGCCACTTTGAAGCAGGAATGTCGTTTCCCGACGATGGCCTCAGTGTATCGCACAGGTCGTCGAACTGACAGTGAAACTGTGGCGAGACTAGGCCTGTTTTTAGGCTCAGGACCAATGCTATCTTCCTCGAGTGCCGTGGAGACAAACCAAGAAAGACACCAATCCTGGCCTTGTGCTCCCACTTGGGTATCGACTTCCCTTCCTGCAGTCGCCTGTCAAGGACGTAAACTGGGGAGCCAAAAGTGTGTGTGTTCTTGATCTTTGGTGCGACATCAACTCCCGAAAACAGTTCCACTGGTGACGCATGGTCATTCCTCACGAGACTAGGGGCCGCGTTCGCGATGTCACTTGCGTACCTGATCGCGAATGGCCACAGATTGGCGTTGATTGCCGACGGCCATCTCTGTTTGGCATGAAGTATCATGGTTCTCGCTGCCTCCTGCAGATCTCTGATCTTCTTCTCGGCCTTCCCGTTCATGTGATGAGCGTTTACTCCAGCATAGGTGATCGACTGACCACATCGATGAACTTCCTCCGTGAAAGCCTTGCTGTCAAATATGCCATTGTCAGCGTGATAATGCTTGACGATGACGCCGTAAGACTTGGCATATCTCTCGAACGCTCTCTTGGCCATGATGGTCTGTTCTGCCGATGTCGATACTTGGAAATGGACATATGTGAACCCACTGTAGTGGTCCACGAAGACCGTGCTGACAGAGTATCTCTTCCTCGTCAGTATCCCCCTCATCTGTCCAATCAATCCCGGTGACGACGATATCATCTGGTCGACACCAACGATTGCTCCTGAAAAATCTGCAGACAAGGGCTCTGCTTTGTTGTTCGGAGTACGAGTCCTCCATGGCCTTCTGGTGGCCTTACCAAACATGCAGCTGGCACATTTGGGTGCTCTGGCTGTTGCCAGCTTTGAAGGTAAGTCGCCCTTCTCAGCAAGTTTCCTGATCCTCTCGAACGAAATGTGCCCGAGCCTATAATGCCAAGCCAACATGTCAGCTTGGTCCGTCTTGTACTTCAGGTACCTCTCGTCCCTAACCGGTTCCTGCTCGATCCTGTGCAGGTCCTTCTTCATGCGAAATGCATGAGTCATCTTGTCCTGGAAGCCGTCATTTCGCTCTTGTTCTTGTGTCGCTTCCGGCGGAAGATCCGGGTGCATTCTGTCGCCCTCGGAACCTTGTCCGTCAGACTCATCCAGTGAGCTGTCACTTTCGTCATCAGTCACGTCCACTGCTGCTGGCATTGCCATCAGGTCGAATTCATTGTGTGGTCCTCGCCCTAGGTCCTCGCGAGCTTTGGAGCAAAAAGTGTGTAACTTCGAGTACGAAGGGGCGCTCCTTACCATGGCAATGTTACTTGATGCCGATAACTTGATCACTCTCTTGAATTTCCTTTGCTTCCAGAATAGCTCCACGGCATCTTCATACGTGGCACACCACGTGCCTCTTCGCCTGGGTGCGTTGTCATTTGCCGCTCTCGCCCAGTGCTGTGGAGAGAGCAGTCGAAATGGGGTTGCCGCGTTGTAATACGTGTCAGGTATGAGGAAGTGATGCACCACTCCTTGTTCATCCTCGATCGCCCATCTCACAGTCCCTTTGTACGTTGCTGTCACTGATCCTCCTATTCCTTGCACTGACACCTTCACCGGCACTGGTTGGTCGATGAAATCATGCATGCAGTTGGTGATGCACCTGGATGAGCAGTTGTCGATTGCTATGATCACTGAGTCAGTGTCGTATTGATGGTCATCAGAGTTGCCGTTGGTGGAACCGCTGAGTGACCAAATGATTAGGCTGCACGCGACAATGGGGTTTCCCTCTGTTATGGCCATCCCGACCCCAGCTTTGAGTGCGTGGATGAACCTCATGAAGAGTTGAAAAATCGTCGGTGCTGAGGCGTTCCTTGGTACCGACAGGTCCCAGAGCATCGTGATCGTGCGGTCGTTTGATGAGCTGTACTCGCTCGCTGATCCTTCGTCATCGTCTGAATCTTCAAAGGGGTTGTCATGCCGTGGTGGCGGCTCCGGAACTCCCGCAGCTCTGATGATTGCCAGGTGATTGAGAGAGCACATCACTGACAGTGTTCCGTGGATGGCTTTCGTCGTGTCCGAAAGGTACGTGACGATGGTTGTTGATATCTTTCTCATCTTTCTGATGATGGGCTTTGCGCCCCTTTTCCTCTTGGGGATGTATTTTGGTCGCTCTGAAAGCGTAAGTGACCACGATAGCAGGCACCTCATTGTGACGTAGAAGGTAACTAACGCTGATCCTCCTTCCGAATACGCGAAAGCGTCGAGTAGAGCGACGATTGCGCCCGTGATTGATAGTTGCAAGAGCTGATAACACAGCTGGATTGGGTGGATGAAGATTGTTGCGTACACGAACCAAGACATCAAATGTTGATTGAACGTGTTTGCCCACTCGATTACTGGTCCTGCATTCTCAGCTGCCATCGCGAGTAGCATCAACGAAAGTTGAGCTTCCCTTGCAGCGTCATCAAAGGCCGTTTCGAGTTGTATCAGGGCGAGCCTCGTGCGGACTAATGTTCCGTCGACTGACGCCATGATGTGGACTATGGTAAGTGCTAAGAGTAGAGTCTGGGTTACACAAGTAACAAAAAGTTGATCACTAACGTGATTACAATAAGCTGTCAATGTGGTGACCGATTCTCTACTCCGCCACCATCAGGGGTTGACATCCACCGTGGCTGTACCGACGTCTTCCATGGCACCGGCAAGCGCAGCAGCGGTGGTATCCTCTTCCTTGTTGATGGCCGCTGCAGCCAGGGCTTCCTTCTTCTTGGTGCATCCGGTGCGATGGTCGACTCCTTTGTCGTTGACCTTGAGGACCCATTTGGTTGTGTCATGGTACGGACAGTAGATGTACGTCTTGTTGTTCACTGTCTTTTCCTTCGGCTCACCGCTCTTTGGTTCAACCAGCTTCCAGGCGAACTTGTCCGCGTAGCTGACCTTCTTTTGGTCCTTCTTCTCTGAGTTCTTGTTAGCTGAAGCTGCCTGCACTGACGGCATCGCCTTTAAATCGCTGATCTCCGACCTGAGAGCAATGATCTCCAATTGTTCTTCACTCTTGTGCATCCACTTGTCCTTTCTCACGAGCGACTTGTACTTTTCGGCTGCCATGTGCATGAGCGACTCATAATCAAGCTGGATGGTACCGTCTTCATAGCACATGAGCTTGAACGCAATGTACTTCGTAAATTCAGGGTCTGCACAGTTTGCATAACCATCAAAGAGGCTGTGGATCATTGGAGGTGGTGCAACACTCCTTGCATCCAATTGCGCGATCAAGTCATCCACGACGAAGTTGAAATCTTCGATGTTGGACTTGGATTGCTCCATGATATGCTCGAGATTGATGAGTTTCTTGTTGAGGATAGCTACCGTTGCTATGGTTTCGATTGAAACCATGCTGATCAGTTCATACAGCATGCAAGTGCCGTCTTCCTTGATGATTGGTGCAGGTGCTGCATGTGGTGCCGGTGGAATGACTGCAACGTTCAGGTTGTAGTTGTTGCTCCGTGTCGCTAACCGATTGGCCAGCTTTGGGGTGATCGATCCCATGATGAGCTTGCTGAGGCAGGCCGACGCTTGGTGTTGTCGCTGTTGCGCCCTAAGGTATGTGGTCGCATGAGCTTGTACGTTGGTCAAGTTGAGACTTCCGTGCTGGGTGGTTATGTTCTTGACATTTCCAGCCGTGTCTGCCACCATAAGGATCGAGGACCATCCGTACGATTGTGCTCTCTGCAGGATCTTCCTGAGAAAGTCTCTAAGCCCTGCTTCTTTCCCATCGTAGAGCACTGGGAGAGGGGCAGTCGATGCCATGAAGATCTTAAGTCCTGTCGACGTGGTGAAGTCCCAGGCGTCGTTTCCTGCTCCTGCAGGAGTAACTGCGAATGGAACAGCTGGGATGACTCTTGCTGGAGGGCGAATGGCATTAATCACGTCTTGATTCTGGAGTGCCGCTTGCACTGCTGCCGTCACAAGTGCTGAGATCTGAGCCGCGTCCATGATTGCTCCAGCTCGGGCTTGTTGCCTTTCTCTTCTTTGCTGTAATCTTCTTCTTGCGCCCTGAAAGATTCTTTCGTCTTGCAGTGCGGCCTGAGCTCTTCTTTCAGCTCTTTCTTCTCTGGATAGAGGCTGTGGCTCTTGTTCAGGCTCCGAATCAGAAATTTTGGTTGGCTTCCTTTGTCGATAGAGAAAGGAAAGGTTGTGATTTCACACAAAAGATGTGAGTATTCGATGGTCAACAGTCCAGCAGATACTCGCTCAACGAGGTGCTCCGACAATACTATTGTAAGTGTTGGAGTTGCTCGAAGTATGTAACATTCATGCGCAGAGGAAGCGTGAGGGTTTGAGTGCTACATTGTGACTACAATACTCATTAAACTACCTAACATCCTCAACTGCTGCTACAGCAACATTTCCTTTCCTTTCAGTTGAGAGAACTATTTCCTTGCAGGAGTGGAAGCAGGCTGACCATTGGAGACGACTTTCTTCAAGGATGTCGATCTCGATCAAATTGAGTCGGCTCCACGCCGGGCTGCACTTCAGAAGATGGGGTATCGATCGAACACTGCGAAAGTGATCTGCTATGGTTCCTGGAAGTTGGGGGGGATAGAAATGTTTCGACTCGCTGACAAGCAAGGAGTCGGGGTGATCCAGCAGTTCTTAAAGCACTGGAGGACAAGGTGCACTGACATTGGAGACCTAAGTGAAGTCACATACGCCTTGTTGCAATTCCATGCCGGAATTGGCCGGCCAATCCTTGAGGATCTCGAATCGATTGTCATCTCCCAGTCGGGCTGTTCCAGTGCATGCGAAGGTTCCTTCAATCCATTGGAGGCACGATTGAAGTGCATAACTGCCACATTCCGCCGTTGCACCGAGCAAGACTCCTACATTATGGACTGGGTGGGGTGGTATGGGGAATTTCTCCAGGCAGACCTGAAACGGATAACTATGTGCGTCTGTACTTCCAAGTTGTCACGGTGCTGACATCACAACGGCATGTGGAACATACATCCGGGAGGAGTTCTGGCATGGGTTTTCCAGTCCACTGATGCCTCGCACCACCTACTTCAAGAGATTTAAGATGACCCAGGGATCCCAAGACTTGGTGGTTGTGGAGGAAAGCGTTATCCCTTTTCGCTCCGAATCTGACGTTGGATGTACCCCTGGGGAGGTGGCTCGTCTCTGCTGACAAGCTCCGGATGCGCCACAGGTTCTTCTATGAAGTCGATGCCAACGTCGTATATCAACAAGTTGACAATGAAGAGTCGAATTCTGGGTGTTCCAACATTCAGTCCAGAACAAGGAACGGACAGTTATCGCTGGGAGTTCGGAGAGAGACCTACCTCGACGCCACATCCTACACAACTCGGTTCCACTGGATCCCACTTCCCCCGTCTTGCACACTCTGTCCAGCCAGACTCTGGAAAGCGGCAGTCCTGACCTGACCCTCTTTAACAAGCGTGAGACAGTTGTAGTTGGTAGTGGTTTCAAAGCAGGCATTCCTGCTCGTCACTACCACCCACACCGACCATTTGAGGATTTCCTTGCACCTTGGAGCCTTGGGAACAGCTCTCTATGCGAGTTGATGGATGGTGGACGCTACTCAGTCTGCAGATTGTCACAGCCATGCCCTTCTGGGTGGCCAGCGATGGGGCTGCAGACAATTGAAGCCGGTAAGGGAGTTTTGCTGGGTTCGTGCAGACAACGCGGCATTGTGCTTCGGTGCTCTGTCCAGTTTTTGGTATGGTCCGACTTCTACAGGGCGAAGGCCTATGGCATTCTATCCCCTACTTGCCTTCTTCACGATTGCTGGAGTTCTACGATCAGACCAGCATGAAGAATTATGTACACTTTGCGACAATGAGTCTGTGAACGAACAAGTGCGCTAGTGCTCGAGTAGAGGGTGGACCCCAATGATTCGTTGATCCGACTGGGATGTCTTGCTGCAGATCGAGGATCGTTCGGGCTGCAGTCACTGTGCCCAAGATGGAGCACATCAAATCGCACCAGGACAAGCACAAGGCCATCGAAACACTACTAAGCACAACTGAACTGAGAGCTGACAAACTGGCAGGAGTTACATGAACAGACACATCCAACAGGATCACTCCAGGTACTCCGATTTCCGGCAACTGGCCCAGCTGCACTTCCCAAGGAACATGCAACATACAAGCTTCCCAGAACCTGCGGCATCTAGAACGACCAGCCACTGTTCACCACATTGTCAAACTGAATCCCGACTGGGACGAGGACACCCCTGCACTGGTTGATTGACAGCCCATGTCGAGCTGTCAACCGTCATGAGATCCACAACCGACAATTGTGAAGTTCTATTTCAATTGTGCCAGTTGGGAAACGGTCCACCGGGATCCCAAGTATGATCACCACTGTCCCGTTGTGGGGTGATCACGAGACTGAAACCCATGTTTACCGATGCCCATGTTGACGTGGATTATGGCGAGGGACCATGCAACGAGCGATCAGCACAGGTGCGCAAGGATTCCACAGACCCCTTCTCCTGGAAATTGCTCTGGATGGACTACAATCATTTGAAGATCGATTCCTCCAATGGCATACCCTGACAGGTATAGGGACCTCGTTGACACTCAAAATCTCATTGGTTGGACAACTTCCTGAGAGGACGTTTGTCCACGCACTGGGCTAAGCATCAAGTGCATTCTGCATCGGGTCGGCTCCCAGGAGACAACCAGACAGGGCAGCTCTGTCACCAACCTAGCTCACTGCATCCAGCAGTGGTGGAACCTGTGGGAGGATCGAATGCTGCCAGGATGGCAAAGACAGGGAAGACCAGTGGAAGAAGAAGCACGAACAGCTTCAGCGGGAGGTGAACTATCTACGAGAAAGCGATATGATCCCAGCGGAGTGTGGATTTTATCTTCAAGCGACCGCTTGACGAGCAAATGGCAAAGGGCCCAGGCGACATCAAAGTGTGGCTTGCCAATTGGCTCCCGTCGTCGACAAGGCATCAGGGACGAGCATTGCACAGCACAATGCAGAACAATGACACAAGGTAACTACGCAAGAAGGGGTCCTGCCGTAAAATAGATGGCAATCCAGCAAGGGTAGATGAGGCTGCAAAGACTCCTGGAGTTTTTAATTCTCCGGTGGGGGGCTTGCACTAGGCCGGTTCCTATGTGGGCGTCCTTGTACGTCTGAGGTACTCCGGTTCAATATGGCTCCGTTCAGCGGGTGGTCTATTGAGGTGCAGCCTAAATAATAAAACTTCGTTATTTTTTTTTTGGGAAGCAGGCTGACCATTCAGGTTGTTCAGGATCTCATGATCCCTCACAATCTCACACCACTGCACCTCCCGACATGCTTGCCAAACAGCGAGCGCTTCTGACTGACTTTCCAGAGAATCCAGAACAAGATTGGGATTTTTTTAGCGGTATTGAGAGATGCATTGATACGCATCGTGAGGCTGCAGCACATCCAGAAACTGTCGCATTTCTGCTAAGCCTTGCAACAGATTCCGTCCTAAGCAATTGTCCCAAGGCGCGCGAATGCTTTCTGGCGGCTCTCCAGATAGAATATGCCCAAAATTCTGGTTTCAGGTTGGAGGAAATCTGGTGGGAGCATGGACTTCTACATGATGGTATATCAGAAATGAGGTACAATCTTGATCTTCGCAGGATGTATACAAAGCAGGGAAGTTCCCGCAAAGATATTGTTACAGCCCTTTCCCGCAAAATTCCTTGCCAATGCCTAAGGCCGTGCAGGCAGGCCTTAAAGGTGATACCAGATATACGACACTGCAGGTATTGCCAGAAGGGTATTGACCGGAGAGAACTGCATGTGTGCTCGCTTTGCAAGATCACCGAGTACTGCAGCCGTGAGTGCCAGCTTTCACACTGGAAAAAGTGTCATGAGAAGCATTGCAAATTTTTGCAAGGAGGGGAAGCATCTGAGAGAAAATGCTTAAGAAGTATCAAAAAGGAGGTACCATCCGCATCATCGTGGGAATTCTGTCGCCATGGAGGCTCAACCTTCATGGGTGACGAATGCATGACTGAGATTCACCAGCTGTACACAGATCTAGTGGAAGCCGGTCCGACCCCCCACACTATTGCAATGGTGGAAGATTTCTATGATACAAAGAAGCATGTCATTGAAGATTCATCCACAGTGCCATATGGTCTCCAGCTTGCAACCATGATTGTTCTGCGATTGAATGCAGATAGCAAAAGTTTGTCATTTGCGAAGCGTTTGCTACAAGTGACCACACACATGGCCAAAGGAAGCATTGCTAGCAAAATGACTGACGACGATTCCAGGGAGAACGAACTTCTTGTCTCCACAACCTGTTGGCACATTTATGAGAGGAAATTCAGAACAAAACGAGATATAATCTTGGCACTGGACAGGAAAATTCCTTGTGACTGTTTGGACGCAATCAAGCAAAGAATTTTGAAGGAGCCTGAAATTCAGGTGTGCTTTGGCTGTCAAAAAGAGACAGAGGAAATGTATGTATGTGACCGATGCATGTACACTGCATACTGTTCCCGTACATGCCAAGAAGCTGGTTGGCCCGATCATGAGATGGATTGCAACGCATTTTGTGGAAAGATGACTTGGGACGAGGCTGACATTGCCCGCCAATATGCAAAAGGAGAATTAGAAGAGATGGAGGAGATAGACTAGCTAGCATAGCTTTTGACTGAAGGGGTGTTTTGTGGTTTGAAGGTTGGAGGTTGCCGATTATATTCCCTGGTCACCAATTCTGCGAAAGCAAAGGCGTAGCAACTTCTGGAGCGGAAGAGAGCTGGCTAGTTAGCTGGTTGGGTAGAATAAGCATCGTACCGCTGGCTAGAGCTAGCTAGTTTATACTTGCACCTCACCACTAGCCAAAGAGAAAGTCGCTTCGTCCAGTTGCAGGGTTCATTTGGGGACGAAGTGGAGGTTTACGTCTTTTGTGAGCTTTCTTGGCTCCCAATTGAATTCCTGCAGTCCAATCAATTTGGGCTACCGGATTAGCT